GGTACTGAAGAAATTGGCGCGGTTCTTCCTGTCCGACTTTTTGAGGGCATCAACGATGCTGTAGAACTTGAACCAATCAGCAGCCCTACTACATGCGTCCATCGAGTGCGGTGCTTATTTGCGGTGCTTATTTGCTACTATTTTTTGAAGACTCAAATAGCTAAGTACATCGTTCAGTCTCTGAACAAGGATAATGGATTGAGGAGAAAGGGCAGAATTTACATTCCGGCTACCCTGAAGTTTCCAAAGCTGAGCGGCAACCTAAATCCCGTGAAAATTTTGTTTTTTCTTTTTTGTTCACATAAATCTGTTCTGTTCCAGATTATCTGTGAAAAAAGTGATTGATCGTCGCCAGGAAGACCATTATAAGTGATAATGCTGGATGAACGAATTGTAGCTGCATCGAGTACTGTGCGGCGAATCTGCAGTAGCTCCAACTCTGAGGACTCGTCCGAAGAGAACTATGGTAAGCTGCTTCAAGTGTCTTTAAACATGCTTGCATTCTGAAACGTCGCCTCTTATAATACCAAAAATTAATTTCAATTTTCAAAAGCTTGCTCATCCTCAAGATAGGTCAAAATTAAGCGTTTCTTGTTTGCCATTACTATTCGTTGGCACTGTCAGCGATTATTCGATACAGAAGGCACTGAAAGAGTTTAGCCATGAAATTTAGAGGATTTACGTGCTACGAGCATAATTGCTTGATCGGCAATTTTACGAGGATTTTTTAAAGATTCATTTAATTTACTGCAGCGAAGCAAAAAGTCTTAAAAAGTCATTTCAGTTAGTAGAAAAGAAAATTTCCCGAAAAGGGCTATTTTGAAACTACAGCTGTTTTGAAATTTAGTCACTGTCATTTCACATCAGCCGATTTATGGCAGCGTTTGCTAAAATTATTGTCAGAGGGGATGAAGAAAAGAGCAAATTTTATTATATTTAAGGGAGCGTGATGAGTTTGGGCTGTGAAAGAAAGTCAATTTTCCTCATTTAAGCGGTATGGGTTGTTGAAGATTTGTTGATGTTTTATGGGTTTTCCAAACCTTTTTTCTCCCCTTAACAACTTCTGTAAAGTGCTTTTTAAGTTTTAGCCATAGCGCACCATTTCTGTTTGAAATGTATAGTGAAAATTGCAGGCGACGAGGGTCGCGCTCCGTTGCTGAATGGCCTTCTGTCATCGGCTCATAACTGTGTTAAGATTGATCTCAGCTTATCAGATGTTATTGTTCAAACAACCAAGAGTGCGCCAGACAGATTTCCGAAAGAGCGTGGTAAAGCCGCTGTAAGTCTTGCTCGCAGTAGTCTGGCCCCTGGGCTGACTTTTTAAGAACAGAGCAAAGGAACTGATAGATTTAACCAAGAGAGCTATACACAGTGAGAATGCCGATGAGTACCGCTTCGGAATTTGTTTCTCCTACGGAAATTAATCACTAATTTATTTCTTCAACGCTGAAGTTTTCGACATTGACCGCTCTAGCTGCATTACAGAGTGTAACAACGGTCGCAGACCGTTACTCCATCATATACTGTAACAGAAGTCATATGAATGGGAATGATGGGCTGCGCAGATACGATCAATGCTCAGTCAGAAATCGCCTTTGCGTTTAACAACCCTTGCTCGATTCGTCCTTTTGCTATAGTGATAAAATCGCCTTTGATGTCTTATTTTCCAGTAGCAAGCAGTCAGCACGCGAATGAACCAGTAAATCAGTAAGTGTTAGGATGAGTACCATCCCTTCACCGATCCTTCATTGCTGAAATTTTTCGCGACAATGATATGCTTGCATGTAACAGTAACTGATAATGCAGATATCTCTGGGTATGCTGATAACTGCAGCCGTCTGTAATGATCTCGTACTCTCCTTCATCCATGAGAAAGTGCCGCAGGAGCCACCACTGCCCGATGCTGTATTCGCTCATACACCGTACATTCCATGGGCACTGGCAGTATCCGAGTACCTTATGCTTTCTTCGTTCACTATCATGCTCTTATTAACAATTTTACACAGACATCGCTGGATTATACTAAGGTTCGTTCAGTCCTGCCAGTCCGTATCGGTGTCATTGCCCTGTTTTGCAGTTGCCGGGCGTTTTGATAGCACTGTAAACTAAGTTCTAAAATTTCAAAAAAACCCAGGCCTCGCCGGATGTCTGTGTTATTATTCATGGCGCAATATGAGAAATTTCCTATCATTTTGCAAACGTTCCTGTAATTTCTCTTTTGCTCAGGGTTTATCTCGCTTGAAAATTTTAGCTCAAGTGACCACTTTACTTTCTTGATTTGGCCTCACTAAGTTTGCACAGTCTGACTGAAACAAAATTGCGCTTCGGTTA